CATTTATACACATGTAGGCACAACACTCAAGCACATAAAAATGAATAAAAACAGGTACCTGTGTTAAAATTCCCAGCACCCATGTAGGAAGCTAGGTGCAGTACATGCCTATAACCGCAGTGCTGGGGAGGTGGACAAAGGGCAGTCCCTGGGGCTCACTGTCTAGAAAGCCTCTGTAATAAGCAAGCTCCAGGTTCAGTGAGAGACTTTGTCTCAAAATGCAGTATAAAGACCTTGAGAGATGACTCTGAGGTTAATAACACTGGTTGGTCTTCCAGAGGACCCAGGTTCAGTTCCTAGCACCCAACTCAGGCAGCTCACAACCACCTGTAACTCTAGCTCTATGGGATCTGATGCCCTCTTCTGGTCTCTACAGTTAATGCATTCATATACACATACAGACACACACACATACATATAACTAAAAACAATAAAAATAAAATCTTTTTAAAAATATAATGCGAAGCAGGCTGTGGTGGTGCACACCATTAATCCCAGCACTCATAAGGCAGAGGCAGGCAGATCTCTGTGAGTTCAAGGCCAACCTACATTAGGAGTTCCAGGTCAACTGGGGACCCTATCTCTCTCTCTCTCTCTCTCTCTCTCTCTCTCTCTCTCTCTCCCTCCCTCACACACACACACACACACACACACACACACACACACGCACACACACACACTGCAGTGCAGGCAGCAAGATGGATCAATGAGTAAAGGTAATTGTCATCAGGCCTGATAACCTGAGTTCGATCACCAGGACCCACATGGTGGAGGGAAGAACTGAACTTCTACAAGTTGTCCTCTGACCTCCACATGTGTACCATAGCATGTGTGCACCAACAAACACATACAATATAAACAGTAAGGTGTGGAGTTGATGGAGGAAGACAGTGTCAAGCTCTGGCCTTCACACATGTGCAAAATATTACACTGATGATCGGGAAAATCCTAGGTCAGTGTTACGTCCTCAGATTCCCAGTTCTCCCTTCCTCCCTCCCTCCCCCACCCTTGTCACATGTAGTACAAACTGTCTTCCAACTCCCAATCCTCCTGCCTCCTGACCAGGGTCTGTATCTTTGATACCCACAAGGGTTTCTAGAAGCAGGGTGTGACCAGTGGCAGGAATCGCAGCTGCCAAGTGCTGTGCATCCATTAGAGATGCCAGGTGACACATGGGTCATGACGAGCACGCATTCCCACTTTCCTGTCTTCACGTTTGTGTCACTTGTATCATTGCTGTGATGAAATGCCCAACACAAGCAGGTTAAGGGAGGAAGGTTTACTCAGGCTCACGGTTCAAGGAGTGCAGGGGTCTGCCCCAAGGTCCTGCCCCAGAGGGACCTGCCGCGATGGGGGTCAGGGAAAGGTGAGCGCACTGTCTGCCCATTTCGCCAGCCCTCCTCACCAAGGACACTCAGATGCTACAGGGAGTCTTGTCAAGCAGGAACTCATTTATTACAGGTGTCACAGAGCTTATATAGGCAAAAACCACAGTCTGGAAATCCCCTCGGAAACCCCCTCCCCTGAACATACCCAATCAGCTTAAAGGTCAACCTGCCACATGGGCAGGGTCCCATAGGCATCAGTGATGATCACACGCTGATCACGCATCCCCAGGGACAGGGAAGTGTCCTTCAGCCAATCAGGAGGTTTTCAAAACATGCCAAACCTCACCCTGCTCGCTTGCTCTCAGCACCATCTTTGCAGGGTCGCTCGCAGGCTCCCACATCTCCCCCTTTTTATTTTTATCTTATAAGGCCAGACTGACTTTATTTTATGGGTTACCCATCTCATAGCTCCCTGAGGAGAGATGGCTATCTCCTTCCTCTAATCTTGTGCATTTTGCCTGTCTTAGGTTGTGTCACTCCTGACAAAGCCTTGCCCATCATTGGACCATGCACCTGGCTATGTGCATGTCCTGTCTTAGGAGTACTTGTCATAGGACATCTTACCCATCCTTGGCTAAAAATGTGTCACGATTAAGGGCAGTCGTATGGATAATGCCAGCCCATAACAATTCTAGTCTCAGCCCATTTAAATTAGCTACACATGGACAACCGGAGGGGGTCTTGTTTCGGGGGGGGGGTTTATAATAGAGAGGAGGGGCGGTCGTAGTGGTCTCATGGGTTCTTCTGCTGTTGTAACCTGGCAAAACACTCAAGGACAAGCATTAATTAGTGAGTCAAGACAATCATAACAATCTCCCTCATGACCAGCTCAAGGGTTGTGGGGCACAGGTCAGTATTGGCATAGGCCAATTTATTATCGGAGTTCATCCCATCCCATATTAATAGCTTAGTGAACTGTTCCCTTAGCAGGCCGGGGGGAGTTTGCATCATAGGCTCCTCTCCACCCTGTCCACAAACTCATGAAGGGGCTCATTAGGGTTTTGTGTGATCCCCGCAATTGGAGCCTCTGTGGATACCTCATCCAACTTTTGCCAGGCCAATAGCCCTAAAGCCCTCACTTGATCTGTATAAGGTGCAGCGATGGCCGCCTGTTGAGCCCCTGTAGAATACTGATCAGCAGTACCTGACAGCATCCCAAAGATAATAGGGATGGGGTGGGGGGGGCGAGGGGGCAGCCAAATTCCTTTCTGCCTGAACTCGGCACTCCTCCTTAAAGAAGGTGCACCATTAAATAAACATGGGGCTTGGGAGGACAGCTTTCGCAAGGTCCAGCCAGTCCTTAGCGGTACAGGGCTGGTGGACCAAGCCCTGCAAGAGGGTTTCCACCCAAGGCGAATTGGGTCCATCCTCAGCCATGGCCTTTTTTAACTCCTTTAAATCCTTAGCATCCCAGGGGTACCAGGGGGCGGGACGATTGCCCCCAGGGTTTACATTGACCGGGAATGCCTCTACCGTCCCCTGCGGCTTACTAGCCCCAGGATATACTGGCACTTCGTCCTCCTTTTCCTTACCCCATATGGACTCTCCCTTTCCTTCCGGGTGCTCAGGGGGCACTGAAGGGGGCAGCAAGGCAGTGCTCCATCCCCTCCCACGGTGGCCATTCTGCAGGCGGTCCCTCCGGGAGCTGCGGGGGACTCGCACAAGTGCGGGCACCCGCAGGGGTTCCTGTTTTGGTTTCGCCCTCTCTCCCTTGTACCCTGTAGGCCTCCATTTCTTTTCCAGACGTTTGAAGGGGGCTGAGGAGGAGGAAGGACTCTCCTCCTCTGGCCATGGTGGCCATTTTACACGTGTCCCCCCCCCCGCCTCTTCGGGAGCACAAGCACCTGTGGTGGCTTTTGGTTTTGGTTTTGTCACCTGGCTCCTCTCTTTGTCAAACCTGACCCAATCATCAGAGCAGGGGTCGGCCCTTTTGGGCTCTGGCTCCAGGGGCGCTGGGCTCCCGGCCCTAAAGCATGACTTCAGGGCAGAGATAGTGGGGTAGAATCCCAATGGAGGGTCCACCCCCAGGTGAATCTCCCTCTGCTGAGCAAGCCGTTCAACCTGGTCCCAGACATCCCACGTAAACAGATTGCTGGTGGGCAACCAAGGGACCAAGTGTAGGGCATCCCCCCGCACCCTCAGTGCACTCTGGTCTGTTAATTCCAGACCCCAACTCTTCAGCATGTATCTCAGCACTTTAAGCGCCAGGTCCTCAGGCTTACTGTTGCTGTTACCCATCTTTTTGGGTCTCACTCACCTCGGAGCTCGTTTGGCCCTGACCGATCTAGGCCCTCTCGTCGTGCCCCACGTTGGGCGCCAGTTGTGGGGGTCTGCCCCAAGGTCCTGCCCCAGAGGGACCTGCCGTGATGGGGGTCAGGGAAAGGTGAGCGTGATGGGGGTCAGGGAAAGGTGAGTGTGCTGTCTGCCCGTTTCACCAGCCCTCCTCGCCGAGGACACTCAGTCGCGACAAGGAGTCTTGTCAAGCAGGAACTTCATTTATTACAGGTGTCACAGAGCTTATATAGGCAAAAACCACAGTCTGGAAATTCCCCCGGAAACCCCCTCCCCCGAACGCACCCAATCAGCTTAAAGGTCAACCTGCCACATGGGCAGGGTCCCATAGGCATCAACGATGATCACACACTGATCACGCATCCCCAGGGATGGGGAAGTGTCCTTCAGCCAATCGGGAGGTTTTCAAAACATGCCAAGCCTCGCCCTGCTCACTTCCTCTCAGTGCCATCTTTGCAGGGTCGCTCGCAGGCTCCCACAAAGGAGCAAGTGCATCATGGCACAGGAGCCAAGGCAGCTGCTCACATCTCATCTGCAGGCAGGAAGCAAAGAGTCAGTCGCACAGGTGGTCAGCCTGTTCCCTGCTTTATTTAGGGCTGGACTGCAACCTGGATGGTTCCCCATTCAGGGTGGTTCCCACCTGTGCTAGCCCAGTTTGTACCATCATGGTGGTTCTAGAGCAGCAAGCTGACAGATAAACCTGCACACTGTGTGGCACAGTGGATGGGGCAGCTGTGTGTGTTCATGTGTCTGGGTATGCATGTGTGTGTGTGCATGTATGTGTCTGTGTGTGAGTGTGCTGCCCCCTGCTCCCACACCCTGTGGTACTGTCTGGCTGACCTGTGCTGTCCCTCTCAGGTGGGCGTGGTGAGTGCTTTCGCCCAGACGCTGCGTCGCTACACGTCACTCAACCACTTGGCACAGGCGGCACGTGCGGTGCTTCAGAACACGTCACAGATCAACCAGATGTTGAGCGACCTCAACCGTGTGGACTTTGCCAACGTGCAGGTGAGCAGGTGGGACTTGGGTTCCTGGGCCTAAGCTGTGAGGCACATGGGACATCTGCCTGCCCTACCTGTGCTCCAGGCTGGGTCCTCCACACCTAAGATGGGTCCGCCCACCAGGCTGAGTCCTCCCCCAAGCCCATCCACCCTGCATTAAACCCATTATACCCACAGCTAGCATGCAGGAGCCCAGCTGGTTCAGGTCACTCAGCTGTGCTGGGAAGCGGCCGGAAGAGAAGCCTGAGACAGGAGCACGGCCCACAACCTGGGCACTCCGTCCGCTCATATTGCATCCATGCTCCCTGGCCTTCCTGTCCTCCTCTCCCCCTGCACTGTGCTCCTGGCTCTATCTTTGGCTTAGGAAGCAGAGTGCAGGCACATGACAGGGGTTGGGGACAATCCCCAAACTGTCCTCACCTCTTCCAGCTCAGAGTTCATTCTTTAAGCAAACGTACGCACATACTGACAGCAGGACCCTGTGCACACCTGCCATCCCCACACTTGGGAGGCTGAGGCAGGAGGAGTCAAGAGTTCTAGACCAGCCTGGGCTACTTAGATCTTGTCTCAAAAAATAAAGAGGAACTAGAGAGAGGGCTCATGGGTTAAGGGCACCTGCTGCTCATACAGAGGACCCAGGTTCAGTTCCCAGCACCCACATTGGTGACTAATACCCAGCGATCTGTAACTCCAGTTCCAGGGGATCCAATGCCTTCCTCTGACTTCTATGGGCATTGTATGACACGGGTACACATACATACTTGCAGGGAATACACTCATAAAATAAAAATAATAAATATATTTTTTGATCTTTTTAAGACAGGGTCTCCTGTAGCCCCAGCTGTCCTGGAACTCACTATGTAGACCAGGCTGGCCTTGAACTCACAGAGATCTGCCTGGCTCTGCCTCCCAAGTGCTGGGACTAAAGGCATGTGCCAACATGCCCAGCCTTATAAATAAAATATTTTTTAGTAAATAAGTAAATAAATAAGTGGTACAGCAAAAGAAGTAGACCATGCCAGGGTCCCTGTGCTGATTGTCCCCATCCCTGTGTCCCCAGGAACAGGCCTCATGGGTGTGCCAGTGTGAGGAGGGCCTGGTGCAGAGATTGGAGCAGGACTTCAAGCTGACGCTGCAGCAGCAGAGCTCGCTGGACCAGTGGGCCAGCTGGTTGGACAACGTGGTGACCCAGGTGCTGAAGCAGCATGCAGGCAGTGCCAGCTTCCCCAAGGCCGCGCGCCAGTTCCTGCTCAAATGGTCCTTCTACAGGTGGGCCACAGCCACCACGGTCACATCCTGGCAGTGGGGTGGGGGCACACCACCTCCTGAGGTTCCTGCACCCACCTTGGGGCCCAAAATTGGAATCCATGGGGGTCATGTGGGTGAGAGGCCAGGCCCATCACGGCCTCAGATGGAGTTGCAGGAACCACAGACCCAAGTCCACTTTCGAACCTCCCAGAGAAACACAAGTCCCTGTCAAATATCACAGAAATGATGCTACAGAAAGCTTTTAAAAGGTGTGGGGTCTGGGATGGGGCCTGGCACACTCCAGGTGCAGGGAGAGGCCCAGGCTCAGTCTCCAGGGAGGCACTAGCCAGCGCCAGGGTGTCAGATGTGCATCTGTGGAAATCACGCCCAACCGCATTCAAATCATGTAGACAACCATGGACATGAGGTTGTGGGGCTAGAGGCTGGGGAGTTGGCCTGGCAGGTAAGAGTGCCACTGCTCTTGCAGAGGACCCAACGTTCACTTCCCAGCACCCACATGGCATCTAACAGCGGTTCGTAACTCCAGCTGATCCGACACAAGCATTGCATGACACAGGTGCTCTCACATACATGCAGGCAGAACACTCATACACATAAAATAAATAAATAAAAATTTAAAAAAAAAACAGGGCAGAGAGTGACTGAGGAAGACATTTGAGGTTTGCACACATAAGTGTCCACACACTGGAACATACACATACAGCACACAAACACACAAAAGTAAATAACTCATTTAAAAAAAAAAAAAAGCCCTGTGTGGGTAGTTATGGCCCATGGGTGAATAGCTGTCCACCTAGAGTTGCAAATAAAGTTTTATTGGCACCTTAGCCACAGCCACTTACTCAGACTTATAGCAGAACTGAGTGCAGGCCACAGGCTAAAAATACCATGGGGCTGGGGCTGGGGTGTGACTTAGTGTGGATGATGTCCTGGGTTCCATCTGGGGGAAGAAGAGGAGGGGGAGAGGAGGAGAAGAGAGGAGAGACCCTCTCCAAAAATTCTACCCTGGCCTTGCTGCCTCAGGGTCCTTGCATATGCTGGGAAGCATGATAAATAAAATCACAGTCCTCTGTCGCCTTCTGTCCCACCTGCCCTGCCACCATGCTCCCTTCTCGTCTCTAGTCTTTCTCTTCTGGACACAGGCACATTCCCCAGGGGCCTGAATGCTGCTTCTCTTCCCCTTGGTTTCTCTCTGAGATGCTGGTCCAATAGCTGTGCAAGAGGAGAATTAGACCAAGGCAATCAATGTGGGCCAAACACATCCTTGAGCACAGCTGAGTTAGCAAGAGAAGAGCTGAGGCTAGCTCAGTGGGCAGAGCTCACCTAGCATGCAGGAGGCCCTGGGTTCACCCCAGCACCATAGAAACCAGGTGTGGTAACACAAGCCTGTCATCCCAGCACTTGGGAGGTGGAGGGAGGAGGATCAGGAGTTCAGGGTCAGTCTCAGCTATATAGGGAGTTCAAGGCCAACCTGGGCTTGGTGTCTCAAAAACTGAAAACCAGAGATGGATATGGTGGTACATGCCTTTTAACCCAGCACACGAAAGGCAGAGGCAGGTGGATTCTGGGAGATCGAGGCCAGCCTGGGGCTACAGGGAGACCCTGTCTCAAAAAGACTGAAAAAAAAACTAAAATGGTTTGGGGGAACTCTTTGGAGCACTTTGGGCTGCCAGGCTTCCCATCCGTGTGTGTCTGGAGAGGGGGGCCATTGTGGCCCCTCTTACAGCCCTGGGCCTAGTGGCCTCATGCAGGGGTTCCCGGGACAGCTCAGGGAGCCACAGTTGCTAGGCTCCTCACGGATCACAGCCTGGGCTCCATCTGCCTAAGCTCCCCCGACCTCAGTACACTGTGCCCATCCATCCACAGCTCCATGGTGATCCGGGACCTGACGCTGCGCAGCGCCGCCAGCTTTGGCTCCTTCCACCTCATCCGCCTGCTCTATGACGAGTACATGTTCTACCTAGTGGAGCACCGCGTGGCCGAAGTCACTGGGGAGACGCCCATCGCAGTCATGGGAGAGGTGAGGCCCCCGGCCCCAGAGCAAGGCCTCGATCACAGCCCCAGACTTTTAAAGTCATGATAGAATGCGCCAATGCAGAAAGACCATGTCACAGCATTGTTCAGTGGCATCCATCACTACTGCATAGTTCCAGAACTTTCTGTTACCCCCAAAAGAAAACCCAGCTCCCACAAGTAGATACTCCCACAAATTCACTCAGGACTCCCCTGTTCTAGACATTTCCTGTGGTGGAATCTCACAACTGTGTGGCCTTTTGTATCTGGTTTTTTCACAGCCCAAAGTCCCTGAAGTCCCCACACACTGTGGCATGTGTCTGAGCCTGACTCCTGTTCCTGGCTGCATGATAGTCCAGTGTGGGCCTGGACCATGCCATGCGGCTATCCGCTGAGCTACTCCCATTTTTGTTTTGTTTTGGGGTTTTTTGGCCTTTTTTGAGACAGGGTCTCCCTGTAACCCCAGCTGACCTGGAACTTGATAAGTAGCCCAGGCTGGCCTTGAACTCACAGAGATCCACCTACCTCTGCCTCCTGGGATTAAAGGTGCATGCCACCACACGCGGCTCTACTCTCATTTTTGTGAATTTGTTCTGAATCTTGCCATTTGGAGCATTTGTGCACAAGTGCACACACAGCAGATTTTAATCTTTTCTGACCTACACCTGAGTGCTACTGTGGGTCTTGTGGAATTGTTTCAGAAAAGAAAGGATGCTAGGGGGCTGGAGAGCCAGCTCCGAGGTTAAGAGCATTGGCTGCTCCTGGACAGGACCTGGGTTCAGCTCTCAGCACCCACATGGCAGCTGACAACTGTCCTTAACTCCAGTTCCAGGGGACCTGATGCCCTCTTCTGACCTCTGTGGGCACCGCACACATACATGCAGGCAAGACACCCATACACACAAAATAAAAATATTTTTTAAAAGAAAGGAAGCAGTCAGGAGTGGTAGCTCACGCCTTTAATCCCAGCACTCGGGAGGTAGAGGCAGGTGGATCTCTGTGAGTTCAAGGCCAGCCTGGTCTACATAGAGGGTTCCAGGCCAGCTGAGGCTACAGGGAGACCCTGCCTCAAAAAAATAAATAAATAAAATAAACCATGGGCAGCCATGTTTGAGTGCTGCACACACTGGGGTGCCAAGGCCCTGGAGGGTGCCCTGTGTAGCAGATGCCGGAAAGCACACGTCTTACACTCCCACGGCCACTGCTCAGAGCCCTGCTCACTCAGTCCTTCATCCCCAGCCACCCAGAAGAAAGGTGCTGTCTGCCTGTCATCCCAGACCGCCCCTCCCCTGTAACATCCCC